CTGACTGCCTGACAAGGGGGCCTCTGAGCTCACTGTCGCCATCCTGGGGAGCACATGGCCATTTTATCAGGGACTTTCCACGCTGCCTGGAGGGAAGGTGACCTTTCCTGGCGCTTCTCAAATAATTCTCCCAAAGTGACCTCCAGTATATCTTTCCTGGTAGTTAAATTTGAAAGTGCCAAAGCTGGGGTCAGGATTCTTGAGCATTTGAGCTGGAATCAGGGAATGTTACAGTTGAAGCATAGGAGGTTGGATTTTGGATTGTAGACTTTAAAATGCTTGAATAATTTTAGACTCTTCGGGCTAGGACTGGAATCATAAACAATTATAGTCAGAACTGTAGATTAACCAGGGCTAGAAGTTATGCCAATAGCATTCTATCTATCCCACCTCCCTAACAGCTGAGAAGAGAGGCTGGGTCCTCAGTCACTCAGCAAGTCAGACCCGGGCCAGGCCTCTTGCGCAGCAGACCTGTCCTCTAGATCCCATGGAGCAGAACTCTGGGGGAAGAAGCACTCCCTACTTGGGGACAGTGAACAGCAGGGACAGTGCCCGCCCCTGCCCCTGCCCCTGCCCCTGCCCCTGCCTGAGCCTCCCACCAGGCCACCACAGCACCCTGTCACAGAAGATATATTTAGGTGCCCTCCCCAAATGTGTTTCCACAGCTCCCAACACTGCCTTTTATGTCCTCCTATCCTCCAAGGCCTCTGGGCATCTTCTCCAAACTGACCCGATGAAGTCACCAGGAACAGGGGCTCTTGCTCTGCCAACACAAATGTTTTAGTCCTAGAAACAAAGCCCAGTCTGGGGGGTCTTCTCGTCCCCCTGTGCCTGTGGCCCAGCTTTGACCTCCCAGCCTCGCTTCTGGCTCCCAAGGCACACTTTTTCCAGGGACCAGACGTCCCTCTTCCTATTCATCTTGCCTTTTTTCATCCCCGGCAGAGGTACCCCAGACTCTGCCCCTGAGAGTTCTCCTCAGCCCAGGTCCACAGGCCAGCCCAGGTCAGTTCCTGTAGTGCTTGTCGGGATAGGGAGGCTCCATCCAAGACCCAGGGCTGCCCTCAAACCTTTGCCCCTACTCTCCATCCCGAGCCTTGCCAGAGACTTGCATTTTTCCTTTTCAGAGAATCTTCCCAGGAGTCAGGCAGTTACTGAGAATGCAACAGCGCTGCCATCACAAGAAGGGATCTGTCAGGCACCCAGTGGGTGGATCTCAGATTCCCGCCTGCCTCTCTCAACTGGAATTATTGATTTGTGAAAAATGGAGTTCCTGAGTGGGCAGGGACCCACTCATGAGAGGGTGTCAATCACTATGGTCATAGTTTTGTCACTACCTGCTAGGGTTTCTATGTGCCAGAGATTGTCTATATCCAAGGACTCAGTCAGTCCTGATAATAACCCTATGAAGTGAATACATTAGGACAAAAAACATGTGATCAACTCAATAGATGCATAAAAAACACGTGACATAATCCAATACCCATTCATGATAAAAACGCTGCAGAAAATGGAAATAGATGGTCTTTATCTCAATCTGATAAAAGCTCTCTATGACAAACTAACAGCTAACATCATACTAAATGGACAAAAACTGAAAGCTTTCACTCTAAAATCAGGAACAAGACAAAGATGTCTACTGTCTCCACTCTTATTCAATATAGCCCTGGAAACATTAGCCAGAGCAATTAGACAAGAGAAAGAAATAAAAGGGATAAGAGTAGGAAAGGAAGAAGTTAAATTATCATTATTCACAAATGACATGATCTTCTACACAGAAAACCCCCAAAACTGCACCAAAAGACTTTTAGACTTAATAACCAAATTCAGTAGTGTAGCTAGATACAAAGTCAACACTCAAAAATCAGTAGAATTCCTGTACACAAACAGAAAACTCACTGAGGGGCAAATTAGGAAAACAGCACATGTCACAATAGCACCCCCTCCAAAAAAGGAAAGAAATGCCTAGGAACCAATCTAATGGAGGATGTAAAAGACCTCTACATTGAAAACTACAGTACTCTGAAAAAGGAGATTGAAAAGGACACCAGAATATGGAAAGATATTTCTTGTTCTTGGCATGAAGAACCAATATAATGAAAATGGCCATATTTCCAAAATTGTTGTACAGATTTAATGCAACCCCAGTCAAAATTCCAACAGCATAGCTCACAGAACTAGAGAAAATAATGCTAAAATTCATTTGGAACCAGAAGAGATCCAGAATAGCAGAGGCAATTCTGGGCAACCAAGGTATGGCAAGGGGTATCACAATCCCTAATTTAAAATTATACTACAAAGCTACCATGATAAAAACAGGACGATACTGGCAAAAACAAAAACAAAACCAAAAAACAGACCCAAGTATTGATGGAACAGACTAGAAGGTACAGAAACAACTCCAGACATATTCAGCCACATTATCTTTGACAAAGGGGGCAAACACTGGAAGAAAATAGCTTCTTTAATAAATGGTGCTGGGAAAACTGGTTTTCCACAACCTAGACTCATATCTTTCACTATGCACTAAACTAAAATCAAAATGGATCAAACACCTAAATCTTAAAACAGAAATACTAACTCTGCAGGAAGAGAGAACAGGTAGAACTCTTGAAGACACTGGAGTAGGCAAGGACCTCCTGAACCAAACCCCAATTGCACAGGAACTATCACAAGGAATCAACAACTGGGATCTCATCTTATTAAAAAGCTGTGCACAACAAAAGAAATCGCCAACAGAGTGAGAAGACAACCCACAGAGTGGGAAAAAACTTCAGCCAGTTGTTCCTCAGATAAAGTACTAACATCCAGAACATATGAAGAATTGGAAAAAATCAGACCCCGCACCACATTTAAAGACCCAGTCCAAAAATGGGCATCAGAGATGAGTAGATACTTCTCAGATGAACAAGCACAAATGGCAAGTAAATATATGAAAAAAATGTTGGACATCAGTAGTCATTCAAGAGATGCAAATCACTCCAGAAAGGATAGCAATTATCAAGAAACCGACCAGTATCAAATGCTGGTGGGGCTGCGGGGAAAAAGGAGCCTTCTCCACTATTGGTGGGAATGTAGACTGGTGCAACCACTGTGGAAGTCCCTGTAGAGATTTCTCAAAAAGCTAGCAGTAGAGGTCCCATTTGACCCAGCTATTTATCTTCTTGGTATCTTCCCAAAAGAATTAAAAGCATCAGGAGCTAGGGATTTAGCTCAGCGGCAAAGCGCCTGCCTGGCAAGCGCATGGTCATGAGTTCGGTTCCCGCTACCGGAGAAAAAACAAAAAAAACAAAACAAAAAAAAAACAAAACAAAACAAAAAAAAAGAATTAAAAGCATCACACCACAGTGAAATATGCACACCCATGTTGATAGCAGCACAGTTTGTAATACCTAGATCTTGGAAACAGCCCAAAGGCCCATCAAGCAATGAATTGATAAAGATGTGTTTTTGAAAATATATTAGAACGCTACCCAGCCATAAAGCAGGATAAACTTGAGACATTTCTAGGTAAATGGATGCACCTTGAGACCATACTCCTAAGTGAAATAAATTGATCACATATGTGTAAATGTTGCATTGTTTCTCTAGTGTGAGAAACTGAAGGTGTAAATAAGGACCAAAATGTATAATAGATATTGTGAAATAGGAGGAAATTATTCAAAAGGAAAGGAGAACTAGGGAGGGATGGAGGGAGAAAGGAAGGAAGGGAAAGAAAAAATGAGGAAAGATAGAATGGGAACAAATCTTTGTAAATAAGGAGGGAAAGAGGGGTTGAAGGGAGGGGAAGGGGAATAGGAAAAAAAAAGAATCAAAATATATCATATACCGGTGCAAATTCCCTATGATAAATGTGATCATTATGTATACCTAAATTTGTACCAATAAATCTAATTAGTTAAAAAAGGTGAATACTGTTAACATCCTCATTCAACAAATGAAGAACCTGAGGGACAGAGGGGCTTTGCAGATGAAGTGCCAGAACTAGGGTCTGAACCACACCTGAATGCCACAGCCATTTTTGCAGTCCCAGATGGCAGCCTGCTCTGGAAACCCCTTCTCCATAGTGCCCTGGAGTCCTGCAAGTGTAGTATATGTGAGAACCTTATCACTGGTCAGGGATCCTCTGCAGAAGCCCTGTCCCCTGCCCTTGCACTGAAAGTGACCAAGATACCTTCACATAGCACACACCCCTAAGCTCACAGTTATACTTGCTGGAGTCTCAGACCAGGGCTTCCTGCTCTACAGGGTGCTGAGGGTCCTATCACAGGATAACAGGATAAGCCCTGAGTTGACTCACTGGACGATAATTTATGAGACCACTATTTTCACATTAAAACGAATGAGAAAATACTACAGAGAAGAATGTGAAATCCACAGGAATTCTAAAGATTAAAAACATGAGACTTTAAAGGACCTTCGTGTGTGTGTGTGCGTGTGTGTGTGTGACAGAGAGCGCGTGAGAGCGAGAGAGAGAGAGACAGAGAGAGAGAGACAGAGAGAGAGAGACAGAGAGAGAGACGGAGAGAGAGAGAGAGAGAAAGAGACAGAGAGAGAATGCAAGCAAGCACATGGGATCTGTCATACTTCCTCCTCCCAGATCCAGAATCAGCTTTCACTCTCCCACGTTTTCAGGGGAGCTGGGTGCAAAAGTGACAAGCACTGCCCAAACGCTCCCCACCCTCCATTACCTGGCTCAGCACATCACAGGGGCATCAGATATGCCCCACAAAACACACACCTCACAGCTGGCACAACACAGAGCACACCATGCTGCCACTGCCCTTGCCACACAGCACACATGCAGTAGAGCCTCTGGGTTACCCTGGCTGAAAAGTCACATCTGGCTATAGACGGGGTCCATGCACAGTTGTGGGCACGGCCCACGTCCAGGGGTCGCCCGTGGCACACTGTGTACACACCACACACCAGGTATATAAAACCCACTGCCCACAAGCAATCCCTTACACAACTCCTAGCCACCCATACATACAGAGACTCACCTTGGGGAATCCCACCGGGACCAGTGGCCAGCCTGCACCCCCTCACCGGCGCCCCCTGGCCCCAGGGTCCTTTCCTGGCCGGCGCCCTCACGCGCAGAGGAAGCCCCAGCGGCCGCAGGTCCGGAGATGTTCCGGGCGCGCTGGGCGGCGAACCCACGAACTGAGCGATCGACAGAGCCAGCGCAGGCGGCGGCTGCTGCTCCAGCCCCAAGAGGCGCCCGTTGCAGCAGACCAAACCCGCGGGGAGGGGCTGTGGCCCGGAGGCTTGGGCACCCGATCTGGAGTCCCGCCCAGCCAGGACTGGGCTGGGCTGCCTGCCCGTAAGGGACCAAGAGGCAGTGACAGTCTGGGGTAAGCTGCAGGCTGAAAGGACTGCTCCTGGGCCGCTGGTTTCCTTCGGGACTTCTACGTTTTTTTGGCTTCAGTTTATGTATTTGTGTTGGTGTGTGGGGTGAGGATGGAGTGGGTGATTTCTCCCATCTTCCCGGCCCCATCAATCTACAGTTCCAGGGGGTTGGGTGGGGCAGAACAGATGAAGAATATTAAGTATAATTTCTTGAGCGAGTATGTGCCAGACTCTGTGCTATTTTTTAATTAATTAAGTAAGAAAGTAAGTAATTGTGGTATTGGAGATTGGACACACGGCTTTTGCATTGACTTACATCTCCGACCCTTTTTAAAACTTTTTAAAATTTTGAGACAAAGTCTCGCTAAATTGATTATTTCCCCAAGCTGGGCTTGAAATTACAATTCTCCTGCCTCAGCCTCCTGGAGTCCTGGGATTACAGGCATGCACCACCAAACCTAGTCTGTGCTAGTTATCTTAATTCATTACCTCATTTAACCCTCATAACATTGCAGAAGTGTTACTATCCCGTTTCACAAGTGGGGAAATGGAGGCACAGAGAGATAAAGTGACTTAACTAAGTTGGTAAGTGGCAGACCTGAGATTTAAAGCAAGACAGCCTGACCACAGAGCCCAAGCATACCTGAAGTATGGGTTTATGGCTCTTTCCACACCATACACTGCTTCCTGGTGTTCATAACAATCCCAGGAGCTTGGTTTTACCAATCCATTTCACAGATTAGGAAACTGAAGCTCAGGGGGATTAGCTTGCTCCTGTTCACCCAGTTAATGGGACATCAGATTAAAGATGGCAGAGGGTAGGGGCAGTGACTGTCAAGGAACCAGACATGGTAGCACAAGCCTGTAATCTTTGTATTCTGTCAGACTGAGATGAGAGGATTGCAAACTTGAGCCTGACCTGGGAAGCTTATCAATTTATTGAGACTCTATCTCAAAAGATGAAAAAGGCTGGGAATAGGAAACAGTAGGTAGACCTTATGCAGATGGGAGGGGGATCTAGGGATGGAGAGAGGAGGGAAGGGTAAATAAAAGGGATTAAGATGTGATATGTATATGTGCCAACTCCCCATAGTGACTGTATTCATTACGAATCACAAATATGCATTAAAAAGGTTGGGGGAGCTGGGGATGTAGCTCAGTGTGAAGGCCCTAGGTTCAATCCTCAGTACTACTAAAAAATAGCATAAGGGGACAGAGCCTGGTACATAGTAGGGGCCCCTCAATGTCAATGTTCCTCATCATGCCACTCTCCTTCCCTCTCTTCTTCCCTTTCATTGCCTACGAGCTGGCTGGTGCAGAGGCACCTCCAATCCCCTCATCTCTAAATCTTCCCTTGATCTGCAGTCTCCAGACACAAGCCAGCCCCTCTTCCTGGCTACCACTGGAACTTTTGCCCAACAGCCAGATTCCTGTTAGGTGCCAGGGTGTGTGCTAGGCACAATGAAGGTGAAGAACTAGATGGTGCTGATGGTGCCAGTCTGGTAGAGTTCATAGTCTAGTGAGGAGAGCATTTGTTAGCAAATAGTCATGCAAATTAATGCGAATAGTAACTACATATTGTGTCAAGAACAAGTGAAAGACCAGAAGAGAGATTAGAGTCAGGAAGAGGGACAGCTAATTTAAACTGGGTGATCTGAGAAGGCTTCCCAGAGGAAGGTACATTTCAGCTGAGACCACAAGGAAGTGTTGGCTTCAGCCAGGTAGAACTGAGGGGACAGAATCCCAGGCAGAGGGCCTGCACAGAGTTTCCTGAGACAGGGAAAGCCTTGCCTTCACTGTTGCCATTTTTGGAGGAGTTACCTCCTCTGCAGGTCTCTGCCCACCTAATCTGGTCTCTGCCCCCAGAGCACCTGCAAGGTGACCCAGCCGAGGATCCAGAGATCTCCGTGACTCAAAACCAAAAAAAAAAATAAAAAATAAAAACACACACACACACAAATAAAACAATGTGCAGCCAGGCGTGGTGGCACACACCTGTAATCCCAGCACTCAGGAGGCTGAGACAGGAGGATCATTGTGAGTTCGAGGCCAGCCTGGGCTACAAAGTGAGCTCAAGGCATAGTGAGACCCTGTCTGAAAAAGACCAAAAAAAAAAAAAAAAAAGTGCCCATCTCAGTCAGTCACACTGAATGACTCCCCACGTGGCCTGAACAGCATCCTTCAGGGTCTTCCTCCTTCCCAGGCTCCTTCCTGGGGGCTCTGTCTCTCCCTTCCCCAGGGCTCTGTTCCAACCTCTATTTCGCTCACTCTGCGAAATAGTGTCCTCTATTTCGCTCACTCTGCGAATAGTGTCCTTCCTCCCAGGGGAAGGACACGCTTTCTCTTTACCCAAGTGTGCTAGAGACGCATAGTCCCCACTCCTAGCCCAGCTTGTCTCCTGTGTCCCAGATCAACTCTTCCCTGGATGTCCATCCTCGGAGGACTACAGTGCTGCTTCCCTACAATAATTCTCCCCATGTCCTCATCTCAGGGACAACACCACCAGCCCCTGTCACTTTAACCCAGTGCCTGCAGCACTCAGACAAATGCTAGCCCTTCCTTTAGGGTCTGCCACAGCTGTTATTCAACAAATTTTGAATTCCTGCTACAGCCCAGGATTAAGGAATGATTTTTTTTTTTTAAACAAAAGCAGTAGGAAGAAAGAAAAAAAATAAAGGAAAATATTGAAAACTCAGTATCACAAAAAAGCTCTCTTTATCCAAAAGCATAAATAAAAGAAAAAAATGAAAAAACAGACAGCATGCTGAGAGATCATTGCAACACATATAATGAAGGGCTATTCTGCAACATAGGAAAATATCTCCTATACATCTATAAGAAAAAGCCAAGCGACCTAATTTTAAAACGAGTAAAGCCAATGCACGTATGAAAAATGCTCACCCTCATTACCCACCAGAGAGCTTTAAATGAAAACCACACTGTACCATGTCACATATATCTACTAGCAAAAATTTAAAAATTTGATAATACCAATTTTGTTCAGCATAGAAAAAGAAGAGAACTTTTACACGTTGCTTGGGAAACTGGCAATTGAGCACAGACAAGATTGAAGGGTACTTTGTCAATATCCAGTGGATTTAGAGATGCACATAAGATGGAACATTTTAATCCACTGCATACAACCAGCAGACACTCTTGCATGTGCTGAAATGTCCATCACAGCATTGTATTTAATAGCAAAATACCAGAAAAAACCTATATACCCATCACCAGGTATGGAGAAATAGACTATTAGGGAGAAATAGACTATTATTCTGACATTGTTGGTTGTCTGAACCCTCAGTTTTCTCATATTTGTTATGGCAGTGACTTGTGGAAAATCTGACCTTTTTTTTTGTTTTGGTTTTTTTCTCCGGTACCGGGAACCGAACTCACGACCTTGGGCTTGCCAGGCAGCTGCTTTTGCCGCTGAGCTAAATCCCCAGCCCCTGACCTTTTGAATCTGCACACGCTCGCCAACCTGGACCTGGGTGAGAGGAACAGACAGTGGTTGTCTCACCCAGTATCTCCTCCATAGAACAGGATCGTGTCTCATGCTTCTGTCGTTTAGACTTATTTGCTCCACAGCTGTTATCTCCCCTGTGTTACTAAGTGAAATTTCTTCCTAAAAAAGTGAGTAAACCTGAGAAGAAACTAGGTAAGCTGAGAGGAGACCCCCAAAAGGCCACTACTGAAAGAAAGTATAAAAGTGATCAGGCTCACTGGGAAGGCAGGACAGTGAAAGATGTAGGGTAAGTTTCGCCCTCTGTGTGCAGGAGCTCTTCCCTGTGAGAGGAAACAGCTCTTTCGGTGTCCCTGGGTAAAGGAGTCAGTGCTTTAGAAACTTTGGAACTTTCTGTGATGGTGGAAATATATGTGCTGTCCAGGATGGTAGCCTCTGGTCATGCATGACTCTTGAGCACTTGCAATGTATCTAGGACAGTAGAGGAACTCAATTTTTAATTAGAAGTGAATTTCAATTTAAATAGCCTGTGGGCTGGGGGTGTAGCTCAGTGGTAGAGCATTTGTCTAGCATGTGATTCTCTAGGTTCCACCCCTAGCATTGCAAATAAACAAACAAATAAATACAGTCTTTTGTGACCAATAGATATCGTATTGGGCAGTGCAACTTTATGTTATGCAGAAATCCTTGGCGATTACTAATAATTTCAATATTATTTGGGGAAGATTAGTTTTTTTGGGGGTGGGCTGGGAGCATATTTTTCTTCATTAAATTCTAGAATTTTGCTTTCACTGTGCACAAATTTACTATCAAGATGAACTATATTCCAATAGTAAGAGGAAACTATATATTCACTCAATAGAATTTTATACAGCAGAGAAAATGAATGCGCATGTCAAGAAAGCTAAATTCACATAAGCATAATGTGATATATATATATGTAATATATATTATGATACAATGCAAATAAAAGGTTTTTTTTATTTTAAAGAGTAAAAGAAAGATAACATAGTAATAGGGTGGCTTACCAAATTACAAAGTGGTAGGAAATTATCA